GAAAGAAAAAGAGAAAAGAGAGGAAAGAGGGAGAGAAAAGAAATAGAGAGAGAGAGAGAGAGGGGAAATATATTAAACGAAAAGAAACAAAGATAGAAGTTCGAAGAAAACTGGGGAATACTACACATTGTGTGCTATACGTAGGGAGACGTCGCGTTACTCAAGGTTTCTAAATTATTTACAAGCTCTTCGAGTTATCCGATTCTCGCGCGATACGTCTGGCGAAGGCCACGGGAAACTTTCTCTAGACGTAGCTCTTCGTAGGAAAAAAAAAAAAAAAAAAAAAAAAAAAAGATAGCCATTCTTCTACGATATTTTTATCATAATCAACAAAGCGTCTCTGTAAAAATCACATTTTCCATTTACGTATTTCTTCCCACAAGTAGCTTCGTTTGAGAACATGTCACGTGACCGGTTTTATTTACGACGCACAGAGTCGATGCCTTCGTACGATATGTTTCGATACAATATATATTATTATATATACGCGTGTATGCAGAATTTTTCATCAATAATTTTCGTTTATATACGCATTTAGACTCGGTGCATCATCAATTGTACGATCTTCTCGTTTCTTTTTGTAATAATTTTTTTTCAAATTCACGAAGAACGTGCATTTTTTTTTTTTTTTTTAAGAGAAATTCTTTCCTTGATTTTTATTCTCTTCGAGCACAGAGTTTGCGTTTTTTTTTTTTTGGTTGGTCTCCAAAATATATGCCTCGAGTTATCTCGTTTCGTTTAACAGATGCCAAAATAAAATGTGCAGAAACGAAGCATTTTCGTATTTTTTTTTTTTTTTTCATTTTCGCCATGACACGTGGCACGCGTGTATATTTGACAAGGATACAAAAGCGTTTAAAAAATAATTCTTCGATCTGCTCTTTTCTCTTCTTCTTCTTTCTTCGTTTAATAATTGAGCATAATTTTGGCGTCTTGATTCGCGCCTATAAGTTTGCACCTTCTACTTTGGCACCTTGTACGTGTATGTATGTATGTGTGTGTATGTTTATGTGTATATATGTATGTGTGTACGCGGGTGGCCGAAATGATGTACCGTTTTCGCTTAAATCGGTACGATCGAAGAATCATTAGCACGATTGAAACGAAAGAAAGACACGTGGAAAAAGCATCGCAATGCGGTCGGATAAGCATACACAATCGTATTGCTTAATGCACACGTAATACTGGCTTTCAGAGCGTTCGAATTCCCTCGTTTTCTTTGAGAATTGAAAACGTCGATGATTGTCCGTCCCTAAACGCGAAATTCTTTGTGCATAAATCTGATAAATCGCTATCTCAATGCATTAAAAAATGTTTAACGATCACGATTTGTAGTTTATTTAACTGAGCATGCTAAGTCCCAAGCTCCGTCACCGGAGTTCGATATTCTCTTTTACTTATTTTACCGTTTAATTACCTTAACGATATTTACTTCATTTTCCCCCTTTACTGGCTCTATATTTTCGCAATATACGATACATATGGTGCTCTAGACTAGTTGAGCTGGCCTTATTTAACCGTACGAAAAAAAAAAAAAAAAAAAAAAAAAAAAAAAAAAAAAAAAAAAAAAAGGGAAAAAAAAAAAAAAAAAAAAAAAGGGAAAAAAAAAAAAAAAAAAAAAAAGGGAAAAAAAAAAAAAAAAAAAAAAAGGGAAAAAAAAAAAAAAAAAAAAAAAGGGAAAAAAAAAAAAAAAAAAAAAAATGAAAACAAACTGGAAAATACGAACAAGAAGTAAAAATTTGCTAAAAAATAAAAAAAAAAAAAAAAAGAACAAAAATGACGCGTTTACCGCGTTCTAACTTGCGGAAAACCCATAGCAATCGATCTTCTCTTCTATGCGAAATTCTTTTTTTTCATCGTCGAAGTTATACTTCCCACGATGCCTCGTTTTCCTTAAAATACCACCGCACCACATAGAATAAATAAATTTTAATCAAATATCTTTAAATATCAACAATTCTTACACGCTACACACACCTTCGCTCTTAAATAACGAAAATTGAAAACAGAAATTCGTTCCCTCGTAGGAGGCGAATATTCAACAAGAACAAAATAAAGGAAATAAATTCACAACGATTCACGTTTCACGATTGCTAGCAGGCTTGCGCTTTGCGCGATAATTGCAATGATACCTCCATTAGATTAAACTCGTAAATCTAATGAACGATTCGTTTGCTTCTTCATTTTTTTTTTTTTCTCCTAGTTTCCGCCTCCGACTCTTCACGTTCGATGGAAACGATTCGAGTGCACAACGTGTGGAGGCTGTTTCAGGTCCCGAATGTAAAAAAAAAAAAAAAAAAAAAAAAAAAAAAAAAAAAAAAAAAAAGAAAAAAAAATCAAAAGAATCATCTTCGTCGTCGTCCTCGTCATCGTCGTCGTCGTCGTCGTCGTCCATCCGATCGCACTAATAATAAACGAGGTCCCCATTTCCCGGGACGAGACGGGTGTCTCTCTTCCTCCTTCTTTCCTCCCTCGTTCCATTTCTTTTTTTTTTTTTTTTTTTTCCTTCCATGGGCTAAGACGGTCCTTTTTATCAGTGCCTTTTCATGTGAAGCGATAAGTGGTCGCTCCGCGAGAACGATCGTTGGCAAAGATGGCACTTGAACGGCTTCTGGCCCGTATGCTTGCGATAGTGCCGCGTTAATTCGTCGGAACGTGCGAATTTCCACGTGCAACCCTCCCATGTGCACTGATACGGTTTCTCGCCTGCAACAGATCAGTGAAACTTAGTAGAGGGGAAATTATCGCACGGCTCGTTGAATTGAGAAACTAAGAAGCTAAGAAGGAGTCGTGAGATCGAATTTAAAGATATGATGCAACACTCTGATGTGTCTTAAGATTTTTGATAACATGAGTGTGACATAACTTTGCACGAGGTTAATCTCTCGTTGTTCTTACGTAACAAGTATTGTGTTTTATACGGACAGACCGCCAATTTTCAAATAATTATATAAATTAATTAATTACGCAATGTATCTTAAAATTTGATTGAATCGTATTAAAATTGGAAAAATGTTGAACCGTTATGACTTCGAAGGTAATTATTTCCAATAAATTAATGAGCGATCATTAGAAATGTAGAATTTTGCTCTTTAAAATGCTTTTTCTTGGTTCATTTCGATACGAATTCCGATTTTGAGATATTGTCGTGTAAAGGAAAGATTTTTCATTTATCTCCGTTCTTGTCCCTTATTCGGATTTCCTCTTATTTGATTTCAATGATTCAGTGTCCACTATTTTGTGATTTTGAATGCAATAAGTTATTGTAATATAGAAATATAATTTAACATATTTTTTTGTACATCAATATTTGAATCCGCTATATGAAAATTCGTAGTCCATTCTCTGACAGCTTTATCGACACGCGCGATCAAATTGAAACAAATCAATAGAAATAAAACAAGGCCTCCATAGAATTGGAGTAAACGCGTGAAAAAAAAAAAAAAAAGAACTAGAATTGTTCCGCATTATTGTGTAATTGGCAACGGAGAAGCGTAAACGCGGTGAAACATAAAACCTCGTGCTGGATTCCCTTTAGATTTACTGCCTGATGCGTGTGCACACGTACGCCCGATCACTTTCATAATCTCCATAGCGGTTGGCCGCTCATTTTCTTACGCGGGAACGAAAGTCCCGCGTCCTTGGTCAATTTATAAGGATAAACCGCGTGTTTTATGCCTTTTCAAAATTTACGATCCAACGAATATAATAATTGAAAAGTGACACCGGCCATTTGCCAGTCTTTACGCACCTGACTAGCTTCTAATGACCCTTCTTCCCGGGCTTCGTTTCGAAACAAGGTATCGTCTGTTCGACGATATCGAATCGTTCCGATCGAGCAAACGATTTATTTTATTAAAGAATCAAAATTGTGTCCAGAGAGATTGAAGGGAAGGGGTTCAAACTCTCCGTTATCACGGTTATCGACTCTCGATCAACACGCTCGTGTAGAGAAGAAGAGGAGGAAATACACACCAAAAGGATAAATCGTGCGTACACCCACTGTGAAATCGGACGATTGTTTCTAAAAGCAGCGCCGTTTTCATCCGAGGTAAAATACTCGTTCGACGATCGGCGATAAACATCTTTACCATACGAGACGATATCGTCCAATGTATTCGATACAAAGTACATTTCCTACGATTTAGCTAAGGTGACTCGCGCCGTTCGTGGGTTCGTTCTCTCGACTCTTATCGAGCCGCGCCCCTCCTCTCCCTCCCTCTTTCTTTCTCTCTCTCTCTCTCTCTCTCTCTCGGTAAGAACCGTCGTGACAGCTGTCGCGCGTTGCAACGACTCTGGATCGCTCAGAAAACTGCCCATCACTCTCTTCTATTGTATGCAAGTCACCGAGCAGTATTTCTCGGTCCGGTGTTGTGCACGATTTGCCGAAGAAAAGGAGCGAGGAGAAGGAGACAAGCGGGGATACAAGCGTGTTCCTCGGAAGGTGGGAACGGCCTGGAGGAGAAAGGAGAAAGAAAACGAGAGTAAGAGGGCTTAGGGGGGCTGAAAACGTAGCCAGACGTCTGGATGTGGAAACAGGCTGGTCACAACTCGATTACGCAATCGCCATCAAGTTCAGTTTTCAAGAAGACGAAGACGAGCCGGTAGAAAATCGAAGTGGTCGGATCGGATACGCGATTGGCGATTCCTAAGCGAGTAAGTCGACAATGAAACGATTCCATCAGAGCTTCCATCGACGAATGGAACCGCGTTTGATCGATGTATTTCTCACGCGTCACCCGCGAGTCTTGGATCTATCATCGAGTTGAACGTCCATCCTTCTCTCCTCCCGATTACGTTTTTTCCATGAGTTAGTCTCGAATAAGAGACATAAGTTGCATAAATCTGGAACATCGATGGATCGGTTCGCGATCGGACAGAGAAATTCGTTCCAAGATCGCTGGTGACGGGCCTAGGTTAGGTTAAGATAGGATACGATGCATTGCACAAAGTAGATAATTCTTTTCGTATATCGAGTATAAAAGTGGATTTCGATTAACACGCGTGGACGTTAAGACAGGCTGCACTTTCCCGAGAGTTATTGCCCCACGTGGATAATCTAAAATCGTGGCGTGGAACGCGATTCTTAACAACGCGACAACCGGCTCGATCGTTTTAAACTGCTATCCTAGACGATGCTAGATATCTAAATCGGTCGTTTTAACGTTTCAACGCCCATCGCTTGAATATTATTATGTAATTCGGTGGGAATACGAGGAACTAATGGCTGGTTAAAAAAGAAAAAAAAAAAAAAAAAAGCCGACGTTGCTCGGCCGTTGCGTAATTGCGAGTAATTAGTCCATTTACGAGCGGCACGAACACGTACACGCGACGGGACGTGAATATGCACGCGATATCGGGCCGGTGTGCAAGCCACCGCCGCCGAGAAGGCATTAATTCTCCTGTTATTAATGCATTTTGATTGGATTTTTACGTTGGCCAGCGTTACGTTTATTGCACCATAGATTAACGCCGCGTTATACCGTCCGGGTCCATTAATTAACCGCAACAGCAAACTTAGCCACTCATTTGTAACGTCACTCTGATGTCGCGCCGCGTATAAATCCTCTCGTTATATTAAGCCAACGCGATGCGTGTCGATGCTTTTTTCCTTTTTTTCCTTTTTTCTTTCATCCTTATTTTCGTTGCTTCTTCGGGGAGCTAAACAGGGGAAGATCTTTCTCTCTCTCTGGAACATCTCTGCCTTTTTTCAAGTTTAATAGGCAAGCTTTAACGTCAATTGGAAATTGCACGGTTTACGTAAAACATCGGAAGAATGAATCGAAATCTTTGAATTGCGAAACTCGATCTAATCTTTGGTGGCAAAGAGAGAGAGAGAAAGAGAGAGAGAAAAGGTCGTGATCTCGTGAGAAATGGTAGGTTTAAATTAATGTCGTATATTAAAGTGAAAATTATCGATCGCGGGGGAAAGAAGAATTATATTCGGATACGGTTTGTTGAACCGGCAAATGGGTCAACGATAAACGTTAATTAAAAAGGACACGGGGCAATTAAACGTGGTTTTTGATGTGATTTCGCGATAGTCTTAACCATATAATGCCCTCTTTCCAGCAACACTTTAAGAGTTATAGCTTAATATTTGAACGTGAAAGAGAGAATATACTTTTAACGAGGAATTATTCTTAACGAGTTTACGAGAAAATCGTCGTGACATTTACGATTCCCTCTCCCGTTGCCGTATCGTTTCAGTAATGGAAGAAATTAGACGCTTTAATTCGTGAAACGTTTCGAGTCCATCAACCAAATGTGTCCCCATTGTTCCTGCCTTTTATTCGCAAGATATAACAAGATTTTTACGACCTACAACATTTAACAAAGTCCCCTCTTTAATCGACGTTACCTGGAACTTATTTTTTTTTTCTTTTTTTAAGATTTAATCGTTTAAAACGACAAATCCCGTTATTACCCCCTCCAAATTGACGAACGATGACGTAAAAGTTTTTGACGAAGCGAAATAAAAGGACAACAAAGTAAGTTGCGAAATCTTCGTTTGTCGAAATGTTTACCTTCGATGTTTCACACGCGAGTCTATTATTTACAAAGCTACGAGGAAGTAGCTCTCCTCGACGAGTAGAGGTGAAATACGAACGACGTAAAATCGATATTTCACGAGGATCCTTCGAACGGAACGTATCGAGACGAAGCATCGATGACACATCGTGGACAGCGATATTTCGCCCCGAGTTGGATCGCGAGAGGCTCTCTTCATTATCGTCTGAGGATCTCCTAGACGGGTGATTAAGAAACTCGGTCGGATGTATCTTTGGCAATTATCAGAGACTCGAGACAGTGTGTTCGAGACAGTTCCTTGATACGCAATTATACGGGCGACAAGTGCTGCAAAGATGAATGAACCTTCCTCCCCTCCTCCATGTTCGAGATGAATAAACTTTCCACGCGTCACCTGCGAATGATGAATGCTTTAGAAGAGACCCTGAGAGAGATCGCGCGATCGTTCCAACCGTATGTCTCGATTTTTATTCGCTTCTATAATCTTCCTCCCTCTCCCTCTACATATACCATCTCGTTACTGCAAAGAATTGAAATTTACCCAACAACCTCGTCCAAACTCCCTTTCACGGATCTTAAATTTCCAAGATCCTTCATTTCCATCGTTCTATCCACTCGCTCGCGATATCTCGCGACTAATTCTACATATAATTTTTATCGAGCCAGGTATCGAGCGCACGTCGAGAAAGATGGCGGATATACGTATAACGAGCATCACGTTGGCCAAGGAAGAAAAGGGGAGGGGGAGGAAGGAAGAAGGGAATACCAAGTGGTGGGACTCTGCTGTCAACTCTGCATGGTGTCCGCCTAATGCTCCCTCGGAGCTACTCCCGCGGTGTGGTACCGCTTCTTGCAAATAACAACACTCGTTAGCGGTGCAAGAAATACAGCGGCGATGTTAATAACTCGCTGCCGCGCGATTCAATTTAATCGCGGTCATTACGAGCCATTCATTATTTAACGCCGTTATCGCGGTTTAATAAAATATAACACGGGGAAGGGAAGGGGAGAGGAAGGGGGGAGACGTGCTCGCGCGCGTCGTTACTCGAATAAGCTTCGATTAACCGGCGGCGAGGGCCGATTCATCAACGGGCCACCATTAAACGGAGTTACTCCGGGATTACTCTCGAGGAGGAGCCGGTTTCAAAGGGGAATTAAATAATCGGCCAGGTAATCGAGCAGCGACATTTGTGAGCGCGCCTTCGTTGGCAACGATTTTAATTTCGTCTCTCTCTCTCTTTCTCTCTCGACGAGTAAGAGAATTCGAGAAATCGGAATTGAACGGTGGTTGTTACTTGTCACTCGACTTCGGATGAATTTTGAACGCGTTAATAGTGATCGAGGGAACATTGCTACCGTTGGGCTACTCCTGTATCATTCTCGAGAAAAGTATGGTTTTCGAGTTTATAAAATGATAGCGTTGGACTCACGAGGAAAAAGCTAAACGTAGTAATTATGTCTTTATTTCGAAGAGGGAGAAAGAAGAAAGGAGAAGGCAATAAAGATCCTCGATGATCACCGCGATTCCGATAATTGTGGCGAATTGCTCGTGGAAGGAGAACGGCCCGAAATCTCGTCTCACGGCGAAGCGAAGTAAAGGAATTTAATTAAAAAATCGTCCTCGATCTCGAAATTACGGAAGAAAATACGGATCAAAAAAGATCGGAAGAAAGATGGTATCTCTGAATGCATCGTTAATCATAAGTATCCATGGAAGGATTTCTCGTTCATTGACGAGCAAACTCCCTGCTGAAACTCGTATTGTCTATCAACGGTCACGCCACAGTCTAATAAAATATTCATTTCACGGAAAGAGGCGAAATTTTGTTCGCACACACCCCGGAGGTAATTCGGGAACGCTATTACACTTTTGGATAATAATCAAAGGATTAAGTATTTATTAGCAACGATCGAGGGGAGGTGTGCAGCCAGAATGTTTGGCGTCAATCATTGGATCGTGAAAGCGTTATTACGAAGGGATGCATTTACCGCACATCCTCGTATTACATATTTCGTCTTCTCTTATACCGCGCAACATAAATTTACGTGTGTGTGTGCGCGCGCGCGAAGATACACGATATCGAAAGCGGTAGCCGCGGACCGCTATTACTCCATTATACAGTTTGCGAGCGGCACGATATAAATTCGATGCAAATTCGTACCGTGCGAGCCGTGAGAATCATCAATCATGGTTAGCAGGCTTCGTTTCCGTCTTTTTTCGAGTTTTCGTTGTCGATTTCGGTATTGATCGCACACGCCTGTGGCAACGATGGAAATTTTCCACCTCGAGTGGAAATTTCCAAATTCGAATCGTCTCTCGAATCGTTTCGATCTCTCGATCAAGGCGGCGAGCGTTGAGAGAGTTGGGTACAAGGTTCGAGATTACGGAGGAAAAGCACGACGGCGCCTCTGATAACCCCATTTCGCGCCGACCTTTCGGATACAATGGGTTATTCATACGAGACAAATTCCAACACTCGGAGGAGCAGACGTGGCTCGATCGTTGCACGAGGTAGGAACGATTTATGCTTTGGAATGGTAGAAATTACAGTAATCAATGAATTGGCATTTCCCACATCCAGAGTGCCAGTATCCGCCGCCGTAAAGATATCTCGATGGCTGCGCGCATAATGCCGTGGTGTTAGAATGATGGATAGACCGTGCCGGTCCACGTCTCTACGACCGTGGCGCACACTCGTTGAAACAATTATTATTACCAAGCGCCGCTCTACCATATATATGTACGTATATACGTTTCTATCGTATGCCATAGCCATTTCTGCCCTTTCGGATCGCGCGGGATTTCGTAAAACGACAATGGAACCCCGTAATGCGCGAAACGTGTTGGAATATACAGACTCTTCGTAAGGGAACGGTTCGAGAAACGTTTGGAAAAGTTTTATTAGTGGTCGAGTTGGAGAGTCGCGTGGAAATTTCCGTTTTCATTAGAAAAATTAAGAAAGTTTTTTGCCCGAGGAAGCGTGTTAATCGATGTGTTTAATAGATTCGATGTGACGAAGATAGGAAACAAGATATTCTCGAGTAAAAATCTCTAAACGTGTTTCTATTATTTATAAATAAGCTTTCTAAAAAGTATGTAGAAATACGTTACAACAAAGTTATATTTTAAGTGGCCTTAAAGTGGATTGGGAGGGAATTCTAATGTAAATTGTGAACGATCGATAAACAAGTTTGAAGAAAGTGGGGAAAGGTCGATGTGGTAACATCGACGACACGAGAGTACATAAAGGCCAAGGAACGGCCGAGGAGACAGTGGAAAAAGGTAGCGAGTTAGAGAGAGAGATGTCCTTTAAATTGTTCTTGTTTCTGTATGCCATTGCGATCGATCTTGGTAAGTTTCCCGCTTTTCTTTTGTCCATCTTATAATCCTATGTATAAAATTTGTCTAATTTCGGCCTAAGCGATCCAGAAACCGATGTGCGCACCGGGTAAAAGTTTCTTCGATGGTTGCAATACGTGCACCTGTACCGATAACGGAGATTACATCTGTACCATGGCTGCCTGCGAAGATTACGATCCCGAAACTGACACGTTCGTACCAGTGAAGATTTTAGAACCTCCATCCGATTTTTGGCAAAATTCGTAATGTAACTATATATATATATGTATATGTATATTTCTGTCCGATGTACGTACTACAAACACTCGTTCCAGGGAGGACAGAAATTAAGAAAAAAAAAAAAAAAAAAAAAAAAAAAAA